CAGTCATGGTTCATCGACTTTGAATATTTGCAGAACTTACATGTTAAAGTATTGCTATTTTAATTTCAACATTTGCATTATCAAAATTACAAAAAGGCGAGACATATCTCTGTGATAACAGTTAATTAACATTGAAGATTAGTTTTATAAAATTTGGATGAGGAAAATTTAAGTAAGATTGTGAAAACAAAAATGGGACGGACGGAAGGACAGTCAAGGGTAACACTTAATTCCACCTTAGCCTATCGGCTGGGCATAAAAAATCACTAGCCCAAATAAGAAGCATTTAGATATACCTGTCAAGCTACTGTAGCTTCTTCCACTTCCTCTTTTCTGCCAAGCACCATCAAAAGAAACTGTTATTGAAGGTCTATTTGAATGATCATCTTCATCTCTAAAAATATATGCTTCGTGTTAATGGGTCGTTTAGGTCTATTTAATCTTGCAAGCTGGAAATCAGATTAACTTTGTTTTCAATATGCCTATAAATTATCATCCATAATATATATTATTGACTGTTAGGAGATGCCTGAATTTCGTTTGATTTTTTCATAATGCTGAACCCATCGATACTTCGAGATTTAATTTTAAATGTTCACCATTTGCAATGATTTATTTTTTCAGAAAGACATATTCTAAAATTTGTTAATTACTTACTAGATACATCACGATCCCAAATTATTGGTAGGGTTAGCGCCTTCAAACTAGTTTAACCCCGCCACATTTTGTATGTGCATGTCTTAAAGTCAGGAGCCTGTAATTCAGTGGTTGTCGTTTGTTGCTGCATATCATATTTGTTTTTCGTCTATTATTTTGTACATAAATCAGACCGTTTGTTTTTCTCGTTTGAATTGTTTTACAGTATTTCGGAGCCTTTTAAGCTGACTATGCGATATGGGTTTTGCTCATTATTGAAGGCCGTACGGTTTAATAGTTGTTAGTTTCTAGGTAATTATGTCTCTCGTTGAGAGTTGTCTTATTGCATGTCAATCATACCACATCTTCTTATTTTTTATAGATATAAAAATTTTGACTTACCTGCTTAAATCTATATTTCTTCTTGTAGAGCTTTCTGACAAGATATTTCAGCACACTTTTCTATGGTTTTGCCGATTTCTCTTTCTCTTATCTTTAAATTCTTAACTGATATTGGGGGGATGTTAATGCCAGCAAGGAAATTGACTGTCTGGTGTGGGCCCATTCCTGCATCTAAATAGGCTAAACAAAGATTTTTTCTCTCATAAATATTATGTTATAAAATTTAAGTTTATTGGAAAAGCATTTTAATACAATGTTCGTACTTAAGAAATACGTATCGTAAAAATAAAACCTCTAATTATAAATTCTAATTGCAACATTTGTATACAGTTTTTACTGAAATCGCAATAACTAGTGACATAATTTTGCCCATTTCAAAATAAATTAATTAATGCACGCACAAATTTCTAAATTTTCAGTATACTATACATGCTATATGAACTTTGCTAATCATTTTTTATTTCATTTTGAAGCGGCGGTAAAGGATAATTGTCGTGTAGCGGAATTGTAATTTTTCCTTCGCGTATGTTCATGCTTGAAACTCATTATTCACAATATTCTTTTCAAATTGACTAAAAAGAAAAGTGTAACCTTTTTTTTTTATAATTTTTCGTTCAATTTAGAAGACCATTTAATTTCCGTTTATTCGTGCAGAAGGTCCCATCCCCATTTCGATTCGCATTCATTTTTTTCTTTCTTCATTTTCTCTTGCTTGTACCCTTCTGAAGTAATTTCCAACATTACATTTCGCAAATTTTATGTCAAGCAACAATTTAAATTTCTTGTTCAATATCTTTATTAATTTTTTTTTTTTAATCCTTTATTTTTTACTCTCGGTACTAGCACTTTCCAATTCTATTTATAGACCATATTGCGGACGTGAAAGAAAGCACTGTAAACAACGGTTTTTTGTTTGTATGAACATCCAAATGTTTATATTTATGTGAGAAAATGATTATCTAACACGAAGATCAAATCAAGAATATCATTATGAAGCATATAAAAGTGTATTTCCTCTTTTTTGTCGAGAGTTGAATACCTCTTAGTGTTGACAGCTGTTTTGAGAAAGGAATTTATTTCTTTGTATGCAACTGTAACTTGTAAGTGTAAGTCTTCGTCTATAGTATAGGCTATTTGCTATGGAATTTCAAAAAATAAAATGAAAATAAAAAAGCCAACATTATAGTGTGAGCTTTAATTTGTTATTGTGTGTATATTCAAGTGTTTGTAATATTCTTACCCATGCTACATTTTGTATTCACGTCCCATATCAACATTCCCTTTTTTAGCTCACCTGGCCCGAAGGGCCAATTGAGCTTTTCTCATCACTTGGCGTCCGTCGTCCGTCGTCGTCGTCGTCCGTCGTCGTTAGCTTTTTACAAAAATCTTCTCCTCTGAAACCACTGGGCCAAATTTAACCAAACTTGGCCACAATCATCATTAGGGTATCTAGTTTTTAAAATGTGTCTGATGACCCCGCCCACCAACCAAGATGGCCGCCATGGCTAAAAATAGAACATAGGGGTAAAATGTAGATTTTGGCTTATATCTCTGAAACCAAAGCATTTAGAGTAAATCTGACACAGGGTAAAACTGATAATTAGGTCAATATCTATCTGCCCTGAAATTTTCAGACAAATCTGACAACCTGTTGTTGGGTTGCTGCCCCTGAATTGGTAATTTTAAGGAAATTTTGCAGTTTTTGGTATTATCTTGAATGTTATTATAGATAGAGATAAACTGTAAACAGCAATAATGTTCAGCAAAGTAAGATCTACACATAAGTTTTTCATGACCAAAATTGTCAGTCGACCCCTTTAGGAGTTATTGCCCTTAATAGTCAATTGTAACAATTTTTTGTAATTTTTTGTAATCTTTTACAAAAATCTTCTTCTCTGAAACTACTGAGACAAATTTAACCATACTTGGCCATAATCATTTTTAGGGTATATAGTTTAAAAAATTTGTCCGATGACCCTGCCTTCCAACCATCATGGCCGACTTGGTTGAAAATAGAACATAGGGGTAAATGCAGTTTTTGGTTTATAACCCGTTGTTGGATTGCTGCCCCTGAGTTAGTAATTTTACAAAAATTTTGCAGTTTTTTTATATTATCTTAGATATCATTATAATATCTAATATCTAATACTATTAATTATGATTTTAACCTTATTTAACATGATTTCCAAAGCATCAGTAAATACAGGTGAGCGACATAGGCTCTTGAGAGCCTCTAGTTGAAGTATCTGATCTGTGCCGTTTACCAGTGTTTATTAAGTTTGTGTAGGGACAGCTGTCACAAGGTATATACAAAATACTTCCGAGACCGTATCTTTGTTCTTTTAAACAGTTGTGTAGAAACAATGGTGCGTAGCAGTTCTTGCAAGCTTTCAGTTAGTCAGCTAGTAAACCCAACTCAACCACTCTTCGACCATCACGCCATGCCAAATTATTTTCATTTTCGTGGGAGGGAAGTAATGTTTCACTCGAACTAGACATTTCATTTACAATAACTGCACTTTTATATTTTGATGAGAAGCTTTCAATACTTTACCACCGAATTGACCATTTTTCCGACGAAGCGGTGTATCTTCCGACATCTTGAAAATATTTTTCTGGTGTAAGGGAGATAACTCGCATAACAACGAACGCAAATTTTCCCGTTTTCCGCTAGAGGCGTTCATTTACGTACCTCTCACCTTAAAATAGAGTTAAAGTTTTCATTTTCAATCAAATACGGTACGAATGGTTTTTGTTCATGATTTATACGAAATGACAAATTAAGAATATGCAGTAATGTTGGATACTGAATGACAAAGAAAAAAAAATGGTTTAGGTACAAATTACTATTAAATAAGAATGGGGGAATGCTCATCACGTCAGTGCATGCATTGTGTTAAGGTAAAGCTTTAGCTCATATCTAAATATTAATCAGAGGATCTGTTATCAAGACTATATTGGCAGATTTTGCTGTATTTCAGAAGCTTGGAGTACTAGTCCTTAAGCAAATACGTACAGTAAGACACAGTTATGTTTTAGACTGATGATACTTGTTGTTTTTTCGAGTTCAAGGGCGAAACGTGGCATACTCGTACCTTCTCCTTAAACAATACTAAGAGACAACTGTTCGGAAATAAAATTGTTTTCAACCCGATGCCAATTTACTTGTTATTGTCATATAATGAAGCATGATCCTACATCGACCCATGCACACTACAAAGTCACATTGATATACATTATTTCTTAAAAATGACAGCAGAGTCTAAGAAAGTTGTGAATAAATTTTCCATCGACTATAAAAGATCTGACATTGACGCCGCCGATTAACAAAAATGCATGATATTCTAATTGAAATTACGCCCCACTACAATCGAATATCGATCGCTAGGCTTTACAGTTAAGATAAGACAAACTTTTTTACTTTCTATTCTTTTTTGCAAAGTTATAAATGAACAATTTACTTAGCTCGCGCGCTACGTAATTACAGTAATAAAAAAATATATATAGATATAAGAAGATGTGGTATGAGTGCCAATGAGACAACTCTCCATCCGATTCACAATTTGTAAAAGTAAACCATTATAGGTCAAAGTACGGCCTTCAATGTAAACATGAAAACTAGTCGAACCATGACACATGTGATCATTCAGGACAGCTTGCAAGTCAAGTAACGAAGACCTTGCAGTTTAATTGAAATTTTAAACATGATTTATTGTCCATTCAACAGCTACAGTTACACCAAAAACATTAAAATGTAGGTTTTACTACAATGTTTTGTTCTAGACCCGGACGATTAAGAGCTTGCTAAATTGTATCAGCACACCTATTTGTTATTGAGGACCTCTAAATGTGTGTTGGTGTAATTTTTGTCGTCAGTATTCTCTCTCATTGTATCATATAATCCCTTAATCTATTATATAGTGTACATATTCTAATTCTATACTTGTATCCTTATTTGTCAGGTTGCCCCAAAATCCGGAAATACCATTATCAACTGAAAATTCATTGTTGGAGGATTATGTACTAGGTATGTAGATCGTATATTATTTTGTACTTTGAGTAGTAGGACTCTTTAATAAAAAAAAACTACTAAAACAGTAGCAAATAAGTATAAGGTTCCTTTTCTTGTATCTGGATGGCCGCATGTTCAACCAGTTATTAAAAGACTTTAACAAATCATTGTAAGAACATGCATTGTAACCTTTAATGCACCTGTTCTGACTGAATTATTGTATTAATGTGCATCACATTCTGAAAACCAATCAATGTCGAGTGCTGTTAGCTATATTTGCACCAACAATTAACTAGACAAATATACTAATGTTAGATCATAAGCAAAAGGACGGACTTCCGCCTATTTTTATACGACCGCAAAAAAATTTTTGTGGTCGTATATTGGTATGACGTCGTCGTCGTCGTCGTCGTCCGGCGTCGTCCGAAGACACATTGGTTTTCGCACTCTAACTTTAGTTTAAGTGAATGGATCTCTATGAAATTTTACCACAAGGTTCAATACTACAAAAGGAAGGTTGGGATTGATTTTGGGGGTTATGGTACCAACAGTAAAGGAATTAGGGGCCAAAAAGGGGCCATAAATAAGCATTTTTGTAACTTCCAGACATAACTTGTGTGTTAGTGTATGGATCTCTCTGACATTGTACCACAAGGTTCCATATCACAAAAGGAATGCTGGGATTGATTTTGGGGGTAATTGCCTCAAAATTGTAGGAATTAGGGGCCAAAAAAGGGGCAAAAAACAAGCATTTTTCTAGTTTCATGACAATAACTTGTGTGTAAGTGTATGGATCTTTCTGAAATTGTACTTCAAGGTTCCATATCACAAAGGGAAAGCTGGGTTTGAGTTTGGGGGGTAATTGCCCTAAACGTTTAGGAATTTGGGGCCAAAAAGGGGCCAAAAAACACATTTTTCTAGTTTCCAGACAATAACTTGTGTTCAAATGTATGGATCTCTCTGAAATTGTACTGCAAGGTACCATACCACAAAGGGAAGGCTGGGATTGAGTTTGGGGGTGATGAATTATAAGGGGGTTCAAAAAATTGGGGGGGGGGGATTTTTTTTTCTTCATTTTTTTTCTTTTTTTCCTTTTTTTTTTCTTTTAAAATTTTCCATTTTAAGTTGGTTAGTTCTAATTTATATTTAAAAGCAAATAATAATGATATGGTAGGAGATACACACCAAACAGGATGTGTAAATTATTATATAATAAGTACTGTGCAATAGCAAGAAATTTTCAATTGCACAGTATTGCACAATAGCAAGAAATCTTCAATTGCACAGTATTGCACAATAGCAAGAAATCTTCAATTGCACAGTATTGCGCAATAGCAAGAAATATCCAATAGCACAACATTGCGCAATAGCAAGAAATTGTCAATTGTACAGTATTGCGCAATAGCAAGAAATATTTAATTGCACAGTATTGTGCAAAAGAAGATACTTCATATAAATAGCTTATTTCTTGACCAATTTCAATGGGGTTTTATTCTTGAATTCTTGGGGTTCTTTAATATGCTGAATCGAACCGTGTATTTAGTTTTTGGATTTTGGGCCCCGTTTTTAAATTGGTCCACATTGAGGTCCAAAGGGTCCAAAATTAAACTTTGTTTGATTTCATCAAAAATTGAATTATTGGGGTACTTTGATATGCCGAATCTAACCGTGTATTTAGATTCTTAATTTTTGGTTCCGTTTTCAAATTGGTCTACATTAAGGTCCAAAGGGTCAAAAATTAAACTTAGTTTGATTTTAACAAAAATTGAATTCTTAGGGTTCTTTGATATGCTGAATCTAAACATGTATTTAGATTTTTGATTATGGGCACAGTTTTCAAGTTGGTCCAAATCGGGGTCCAAAATTAAACTTTGTTTGATTTCAACAAAAATTGAATATATGGGGTTTTTTGATATGCTGAATCTAACCATGTATTTAGATTTTGGATTTTTGGGCCCCGTTATCAACTTTGTCCACATTGAGGTCAAAAGGGTCCAAAATTAAACTTTGTTTGATTTCATCAAAAATTGAATTCTTGGGGTTCTTTGATATGCTGAATCTTACCATGTATTTAGATTTTGGATATTGGACCATAATAGGTGAATGTCCAATTTAAAATTTTTAAGTTCTTAGACCACATTCATTCGGTGTCAGAAACCTATGCTGTGTCAAATATTTAATCACAATCCAAATGCAAAGCTGTATCAAGCTTGAATGTTGTGTCCATACTTGCCCCAACTGTTCAGGGTTCGACCTCTGCGGTCGTATCAAGCTGCGCCCTGCGGAGCATTTTATTAAAAATAATGACGAGAAATTTCGCAGCCAATATTTCTGTTGTGAATGTCTAAATGTAGTGTGCAGTGGAAATTAAGTAAATTTGGAATTAATTGCAAGCATTTTTTTGCAGCTAATAGAAAGGCTGCATGTATTGCAGTTCTGGTAGTTTGTATACTGATGTTATCCGTTTCAAGTAAGTATTCATAAGTTGGCTTAATCTCAGATATGTCAGACATAAATGTAGGATGTTCATCTGTCGGCGACAGCGTTAACTGTTTTGTATAAAGCTTTAAATCTCTAAAAAGGTATTTGATACTTCATATTTTGTATACATATGTCTTATGTAACGAATTTGCTGTCTGTCAAATGTCCGTTGACTTTGAGAATATCTTCTTTGTTCAACGAGTGTTAAAAAGAACTGTATCTTCTTTATATCACTTATTGATAGTGAAGGACATTGCTTTTGAAACACTTAGTAATCACAGCAAAGTCTACATGTTCCTCATGCAAAATCCATCAGATATTGACCTCGTTTTATAGATAAGATATCGAGTTTAAGTCCGATTCTGGTATTAAATATGACCACCAAGTGTGACAGGGGTATAGCCATTCTTGGTCTTCTTCCGTCCGGCAGTAAAACCCTTCCTGAAGAGGGGCGTCTGTTTAGTTGTACTGGATGTACAATTACGTAGTCACGTCCGGTCAGAAGGGAAACGTATAATCCGATGCCTCGTGTAGGGAGAGTACCACGCTCTCTGCATGTTAAGAATCCTTGCAACGACTTTTTTTAGGGGTCTGTAGGTGGCCTGTTTCAAGGCAAACTGTCTATTTCTGTTTCTTTCCACTAGACCCTCATTTTCCAGTGGCAGTCTAAATTTTCCCGGCCTTCATCCCGGACAGCCTCTATTATGGATCTATCTACGGTATTTATTGTTAACTGAATTGTTCTCGTTCTGAACATGCATGACATATTTGCCTATGGATTTTAAGAAACAAACAATCAATCAATCAATTCTTGAAATCAAAATATATATATTTTTTTTTTATTTTGATAAAAAAAATCATTGTTGTTTTTTTCTATTGTATTTATGTCACTCTAATTTTTCAGGGTAATTTGTTTTTCTGTTTATCGGTTATATTTTGGTATATCCTTAGGTGCATCTTTTCTACTTGTCCACCTATCGAAATAAACCCGGTAGAGATATGAGCTGGGTACACTAGTTGAACCCTGTTGACATGAATTATCATTGATATGGCCATAATTATAAATTAACTGTTTACATAGTATTCAATTTGTCGAAAAACTAAGAACTTTATACCACAGGAATAGATTTTCATTAGCTGTATTTGGCAAAACATCTCTGAATTTCGGGTACTCAAAGCTCTTCAACTTCGTATTTTATTTGCCCTTTCTTACGTTTTTTGTTCGAGCTTCACTGATTAGTATTGTAGACAAAACCCGCGTCTAGCGTACATAATTTACATCCTGGTAACTATGATGACTTTATATACATAATTGTGTACCTCTCCCAAGTTGGTCACCAAGCCAGTAGCTGACATATGCAATTTATAAGTGTTTTTTTCTTTCTTATTTAAATAATTTCGTGTTTTAAGACAGAACTGTAAAGTTTCTGTTTAATGTATTCATAACTCTTTTTTGACCTCTAACTTCTCACGTATTTAAGTGGTCTGTTCTACTATGCGGTAATATTGGCAGTTCCTGTTTTGATGTATGATCTTGAAAATATTAATATTAAAACTTGCAATTTTGAATCTACTGACTACCAACTATATTTAAAGGCATGACTGGACTTAGTACATAACCATACAATTGATTCGGTTATATAATTAATTGTTTATTTAATTCATTGTGTTAATGATCAAAATGCACTTCTTTTATTTTCAGTAATATTTTTGGTATTGCCTATCATAGAAGATTGTTTATGCAGAATGAAACGCCAACGCACAGGTTTGAACTTTTATGAAATAGATAGAACCAATAATCTCAATTTTGTTTGATATCATATAACATGCTAAAACGTAGAGAAAATTCTTTTTGGTACTAAACCAACACAGTGCTTCATTGCTAGGCGCCTATACAAATAATTGTTACTTTAATTCAGTAAATTGTATGCTCCTATTCAATAAAATATCATTAATACGGTGTATTCGTTAATAATCTGCTCGTGTTATAGGCAATTATGAATCAACACTAAGTGTTTTCTACCGTCGGGCATAGATTAACCGAGCCAGATTCGGGACAACCTTTTGGAACTTTTGATTTCAATGCTCGTCCACTGCGTTACTGATTTGGTTTTCTAATTGTTACGCTCAAAGCGCCAACTACGAGTCTAAATTTAAAAAACATGAAAACCAAGGATCAATGATCAGCTTGTTCCGTTGATTGATAGCGTTTGATTTTGTCAGTTTTTATGCAGGCGGAAACCCAGTTGTAATTAAACAAAAGAAATGAAGCTCTTTGTTAGAGAAGGTAAAAAAGGCCAATGGTAAATTTGAATGGTTTACATCTATGGGCTTTAAAAGTTTAATGAATGTTCCTAATGTAGGATTTTATGCATCTTGTGTATGTGTTTTTATCAAATTATGATATAGAGCTTTGAGATATTTGTAAACTTTTAAATTATAGACACATTTTCACAAAACTGTTGAGTGTGGTAGGTGCAAATACATGTGGATCTTTTTTGTGCATAAGCATAAATTCCGCAAAAAAAATGTTCCAAAGAAAGATAATAGATTGATCTTTTTAGAGCATTAATATAATCTCTGCCCCAGGCGACAGTTTTTGGGGGAAATCGCCCAAAAATGGGCAATAATTTCATCGAAAAGAAAGTTGAGTACACCTTTTTATGTTCAGGCGTGTTTGAGTTGACTGTTCTGTCTTGAAAGAGTATAAAAGAAAAATATTTGATTATCATCTCGCTTCAGATTCTATTATTTTTATATATTTGGTCTCAAGGTTGATATAACATTTAAAATTTACAGTACTAAAAAATGAAATTGATGGGTCAAGTAAAATACCTTTCTAATGAGTCATAACAACAGAGTAGGTGTGTTCGAATAACAAATTTTTACTAAAAGTACTTGACGACAGACTTTTTAAGTTAATCTAAAAAATGCATAACTTCAAAAAACTTTCATTTTTTTGTGTGTGTTATCTAGGGTAATTAGTCTTCAACCTCTGAAAATTTTTAGTCTGCACTTCCACGAAATATTTAATAAGAAATTTTTTAAATATTTTTGAACTTTCGAAAATTCCTCTTGACAACCGATCAGACAATAGTTTTAAGTTGATCAAATGCATAAAAGTACATTAAATGATCGGTTTTCAAGAGCTAAATTGACAGCGCGTCATCACTACAATGGCTTCCATTTTTACGAAAATAAAAGTAAGGTGGCGTAATGGGGAGATATTTTGACGAAGTAGAATCCTGACTGTATGGACTTCCCCTTTTTAGTCCCCTACCGTCGAGGTCGAAGGGGACTTTAGGTTTGCACTCTGTCCGTCCGTCTGTCTGTCTGTCTGTCCATCCATCCGTCAGTCTGGCAAATCAGTTTTCCACACCTTTTTTCTTCGTTCTTGAAGATATTGATTTGATATTTCGTATATAGTTTTATCATGACTAGTTACAGATCAAGTTCGAATTTTGTTCCGGTTTGATGATTTTGTGCAGAGTTATCGTCCTTGGACTTAAAAAAATTCGGAAAGTAATCAGTTTTCCTCACTTTTTTTTCATCATGCTTGAAGACATTGATTTGATATTTGGTATATAGTTTTACCATGACAAGTTACAAATCAAGTTCAAATTTCGTTCGGTTCGGATGATTTTTTCAGCAGAGTTATGGTCCTTGGACTTAGAAAAATCCACTCAAATAATCAGTTTTCCACACTGTTTTTGTTATGTTGAAGATATTGATTTGATATTTGTTATAAAGTTTACACCATGACAAGTTATAGATCAAGTTAGCATTTTGTTCAAGTACAATGAATTTTTAACCGGTAGGGGACTATGTATTGCCATGCAATACTCTCGGAATGTTTGTTAAATTTGAGTTTGGTTTTTTGTTATAGTTTATTTTCTTAACTGGTTTGTATCTTTGTATCTTTGTATCCTTACATAAGTTTTTCCAACCAAAACATGCAAAACATTTTTCGCAAAAGGTGTCCAATATTTGATTTTAATATATATATTTTAAAAACATGATAAAAATAATATTTTACTATTTGGTTGATTCCGAAGTGCTTTTAAGTATTAACCTTAATCAAGAATGCTCGTATCCAAAAAGAGTTGAAAGCACAACATGTATACCCCCCTGAACAAGTGAAGAGCTAAATAATCAAAAGGGATATAAAAGAATAACAAAATCCATCTAAGGTCGACTTTGCCAGAGAGAGTTAGAACCTTACTTGTTTTTTTTTTAATAATTTATCTATTTATCAACGGGGAATTTTATTGAAAAGCAAGTTATAAATTATTTCGGTACTCAGCTGATTTACATTTACCTTCAACAGAAAATCCCATACCAAAACAAAAACAACAAAAGCCAAAGATTTATAACTGTCTAAACACACGATGAGCTAAAATTTCTATTAACAGTATTAAAACACATACATTTGTCAGGTTAGACGTAAGAATCACTATTATTATATAAATATTATAGTAGGTATGTGTTCTGTAAGTCAACTATTTTTTCTAAAAACGTCCATCGGAAGATACCAAGACCTTGTTGATAAATATTCCGTATCAACTTCACAAATAATGCATGATGGTCTTGAAGTAAAGATTCTAGGTACTGACGTTGTTTATCATCTTAATAACGTGTTATAGTGTTCTTTCATTTGTCTTTGTAAATTATTAACCTTTACTGTTTAGTCCATTTTTTTGTAATGTCCTTTTGGCGTGGCTCGATACTTATACATCCCGTCATTGTTTTATTGTGCTATGATCTTTTTATTCCCCTACCGACGAAGTCGAAGGGGACTTAAGGTTTGCACTCTGTCCGTCTGTCTGTCTGTATGTCTGTCTGCCAGTCCAGCAAATCAGTTTTCCACACTATTTTTCGTCATGCTGGAAGATATTGATTTAATAATTAGTATATAGTTTTATCTTATCAAGTTACAGATCAAGTTTGAATTTTGTTACGGTCTGATGATTTTGTCTAGAGTTATGGTCCTTGGACTTAGAAAATTCACTCAAATATTCAGTTTTCCACACTTTTTTTTGTCATGCTTGAAGATATTGATTTAATAATTGGGATTTAGTTGTATCTTATCAAGTTACAGATCAATTTCGAATTTTGTTCCAGTCTGTTGATTTTGTGCAGAATTATGGTCCTTGGACTTACAAACTTCACTCAAATAATCAGTTTTCCACACTTTTTTTCGTCATGCTGGAAGATATTGATTTAATCATTAGTATATAGTTTTATCTTATCAAGTTACTGATCAAGTCCGAATTTTGTTTAGGTCTGTTGATTTTGTGCAGAGTTATGGTCCTTGGACTTAGAAAATTCACTCAAATAATCAGTTTTCCACATTTTTTTCGATATGCTTCAAGATGTTTATTTAAAAATTGGTACGTAGTTTTATCTTATCAAGTTACAGATCAAGTTCGAATTTTGTTCCAGTCTGATGATTTTGTCCAGAGTTATGGTCCTTGGACTTAGAAAATGCACTCAAATAATCAGTTTCCACACTTTTTGTCATCATGCTTGAAGATATTGACTTGATATTTGTTATATAGTTTACACCATGACAAGTTATAGATCAAGTTAGCATTTTGTTCCAGTACAATAAATTCTTAACCGGTAGGGGACTATGTATTGCCATGCAATACTCTCAGAATGCTTGTTTTTTGTGTCTTTCGTTTTTGCTTATGTGCTTTGTCTATATGCCATGTTGTTTTTCTGTGTTGACATATTTGTTTATTTTTATAGTGATTAAGATTATAACACAATGTTGACTGCTGTACCCTTATTTTTGACATTTTTACCTATTATGTCTGTTTTTATCGTTCATTAATTTTTGTCAATATAATGGAATTTTATGCGACTGTCATACAAGTGAGAGGTTTAGCTAGCTATAAAACCAGGTTTAATCCAACATTTTCTACATAGCGAAATGCCTGTACCAAGGCAGGAATATAACACTTGTTTTCGATTCGTTTGATGTGTTTGAGCTTTTGATTTTGCCATTTGATAAGGGTCTTTCTGTTTTGAATTCTCCTTGGAGTTCTTTATTTTTGTTATTTTACTTTTTTTCATAGCTAGATGTATCAATGACAATTTCGTTTTTGTGAGTTGAGATTTGGTGAATCATAATAGGAGGTTGATTACTCGCGTTTTAAGTGACAGTAAGAAGACAATATAATTCATAACGTCAGATAGCTTTTAGTTATACATAGACTTCTACTTTAAATTGTACAAAACATGGAAATAAAGTTCAAAAGGTTTTATCGTTGGAACTTGGTGAGAGAATTAATAGCAAAAGGCATAGCAATAAGTAAAAAAAACCAAAAAAAAACGTAAAATAAACCGTATTATGTATATTTTATTTTGTAGAGATTGACGAAAAAATTGCTTCTCGGATAGCCATTGAAAAATCTAATTGGGAAAAACAATTTGATGCAATTGATTTTGAAAAAAAGGAGTTAAAGGGCAAAATATGGAAACTCGAAGATAGTATAGGAAAAGTTCCATGCCATGTACGAGGTAAAATTTGTTCAAACTAGATTGTACATGATTTTACAAACAACATAAATGATATTTATGTTTAGGCTCAAGTTAATGTGTACAGTACCTCTATACGTGAAGCGTTGTGTTGCATTATATAAGGTACGGATAAAGGGAACATATCAAAGTTTAAAGAATCAATTATTGTCAGTCTATTTGAATGTTCATGTGTGTTTTCTATTACCTAGGTAACATTTCATATTTGTTCATTTACATGTATATGAACTCATATGCAAAAATCCAGAAATTCAAACAGTTTGTCATAGAATTATGAGCATGCGATTAATGGTTATACAGTATACATTATAACAGATCAAAACATTTATATGGGTTAATTCAACCTAATTGTATGAATGATAGTATTTGCTGATCAATAGGGATGGGTGCTCTTTTTAGAAAATGTCGCCATTTTAGTATAAGAACCTTCAACGATACTCAAATTATTACTGTTATTCGAATATATAGAAATATGAGTAAAAGGACAATTATCAAAATTCGCTTTCTAGGCATCGGAAGCAGTGAATGTGAAAGTAAAACAAATCTCAAATAGTAATTCCCATTTGTATATTAAACTGGTTTATATCCTTAACCACTGAACCATTTTTGTCCCCCGCGCAATAGAAACATAGAAATACCGGGCGTCCGTCCGTCCGGTCTTGTTAGCGCTCTCACGTGTACACTTCTAGCAAGATTTTTCTAAAACTTATATCATAGGTTTATATCAGCAATGTCTTGGAAAGTTCGAAAATGAGTCCCTTTGGAAATATTATTTATATGGAAAATTGCCTTATGAGCGCTCTAATGTGTACAATTCTTGCCAGATTTTTATGAAATTTATATTATAGGTTTATATCAGCAATGTCTTTGACACTTTCGAAAATAAGTACTGATCAAATATTTTAACGAGTTATACCCCTTAGAAGTATTATTGGAACTCTGTTCTTTTTATTAAATTAGTATTAATCATTCAGTAGATGGTAAAGTTGTTGTGTAATCAGTTTGTTCAGTATATTGACCTGAGTAAGGTTCGTTGACATATATCCGAGTACCATAACAAGAAAATTTGACCATGCTAGCCGAAGGTTGTTAATAGAATTCAAACTTGGATACACAAAGAATTCGGCTGAGTAACATACATGTAAAAACAATAAATTCTTATCTTTACCTCATGTCCTTATGCATTGATATAACAAATCAATGTTATGAAAAAAAAAACACCAAAGATACCAGGCTTAACATGTTGTACGCAATACGCGTGTTTCGTCTACATATAACTCATCAGTGACGCTCGAATAAAAAAAGTTAAAAAGCCGGAAGATTTTGCAAAATAAAGCTAAGCAAATCAATACATTAAGGTGGTACCAAACACCTTGACTAAAATTAATTTGGCTAGTTTAATTTTCATAAAATTTTGACAAAATATTTGCTTGACGCTTTGACAAAAATATAAAAATTTCAAAAAACTTGAACCACACACGCTATCGGAAAAATTTCATTGGATATATACCAGTTTGACAAACACTAATTTTGATCATTGAGAAGCTTAATATGTCCTTAACAATAGAACGTGATTAAAGCGTTGAGCTGATTTTTACAGAGTTATCACCCTGTAGTGTTATGTACCACCTTAATCAGATAACATAAGCTGCAAATACAAAAATCCATATAATTTCGCATATTATGATACATACTTCTATACAAATATAAATAAGAAGATGTTGTATGAGTGCCAATGAGACAACTCTCCATCCAAGTCACAATGTGTAAAAAGTAAACAATTGAAGGTTAAAGTACGGCCTTCAACACGGAGCATTGGCTCACGCCGAACAGCAAGCTATAAAGGGCCCCAAAATGACGTGTAAAACAATTTAAACAGGAAAATCAACGGTCTAATCTATATGAGAAACACTTAATGAACCACACCAACAAACGACAACCACTGAACATTAGGATCCTGACTTAGTACAGGTGCATACAAATGCAGCGGGTTTTAACTTTTTAACAGGCGCCAACCTACATCCTAACCTAAAACAGTAGTGTAGTAACATTACAACATAAAAAGACACATTTTAAAATAGCAATTGAAATGGCTTAACTCGATCAAAAAGACAAATAAACAATAACAAGTAAACATACACTGAACGAATAATTTTGACACAATGTATATACAATATTAAGATATTATACAAATGCCTATCACAAGACATTTCTGGCAATGGAAATTCGGTGTTATGCCAATTAAGCTTTTTGGGTATGTTGTATTAAAAAAATACAATATTTACATTTGTTCGACATATTATTCTCATAAACACGTAAATTTTACTCTTACTTCACAGAACTGCAAAAGGAAACACTATTGAATTGGTCCAATGAACTTACTAAATTTGTTGTAACACAAGCCGCGCAATCAGTATATCAACGCATCCAGACAGAAAAACTAGTTGCTATTATAGGACCAACAGGGACGGGTAAATCCGCATGTGCTTATCACATAGCATTTAGATTAAAGAACGAATATGGTTATACAATTGTGCCTGCACGGCAGCCATTAGACATAACTCAATACTATTTACCAGGTACAAATCAAGTATTCATCATTGATGATTTCATCGGGAAGTATGCCTTTGATGAGGCTGAAGCAGTTTCATGGGAAAAAGAAGGTCCATACATTCATAAGGTTTTAAGTAACAACGATCAAACTAAAGTAATACTAACGTGTAGAAAGTCTATTTGGCATCCTGAAATATGCGAACGCTTTAGATTATCAGCTTTCGTTTGCGATTTACATACAGACGAGTTAAGATTAACTCTGTCAGAAAAACGAACCATCTGTGAGGCATATCTTGAAAAAAGTGACCTAAATGCCACAAATGACGAAATAATAACGATGTATCCTTTTCTGCCCTCGTTATGTTCGATCTTTTCATCAAAAGACGTTGGTACAGTAGAACACTTTTTTACCTTACCCGTTCAATTCATCGAAGAGGAAATAGACAATTACAAAATAAAATCACCAGTACTTTATATTTCTTTAGCTCTACTTGCTATCGAACAAAAAATTACAAAAAAATCATTTTTTGATAACATTGAAAATGAAGAGTTGATAAAAAACTTGTTTGCAGAATCTGGATCTCAAATACTTCCATCAAAAAGACTTATTATCAGTCAACTCGAGGCTTTGACTGACACATACGTAAAGGTTGATAAAGAGTGTTTCGAATTTATTCATCAGACTATGCAAAATATTGTTCTTTACTGCATTGCAAAAACATTTATAAACTCCGTACTAAAGTACAGTAAAAGCTATGTAATTAAAAATCAGGTAAAATTGGCATGCCTCAAGGAAGAGCAGAATGTTGCTGTAATAAAAGTTACACCAGAACATGAAGAGGCTTATTTTACACGTCTTTCAAGTGACCTTAGCGAAGGACAGTTTGCGGATGTTTTTGAAAATAATCAAAATGCCTTTCCAATATTCAGACAGAAGTTTTTAGTCTATTTGAACAACGGTAGAAAGATAAATAATTGGAAAACAAATTCAGACGGTTTAACTATCCTTCATGTTGTTTCATCATTGGGCTATGTAGATTTTGCTTCTTATTTTATGAATTTGGACAAAGGAATGATTAATAAGACCGATGCAAAGGGAAACACACCTTTGCATTTAGCATCCATGAATGGTCATCTTGATATTGTAAAATTGCTTGTTGAAATCGGTCGAAACGTTCACATTTTAAACACGGACAAATTATCGCCTTTTTTCTATGCATGTGAAAATAATATTATCTCTGTCGTGAATTATTTGATCAATTTACCGAACGACGTAGCTAAGATCAACGAAACATATATGATGAGAGAACACAAAAGTGTTCTTCACATAGCTTGTCTGAAAGGTTTTACAAAACTTATAACAATTCTGCTGGACCATCGCGCTACTGTTGACATACAAGATAAAGGTGGATTAACGCCGTTACATTTGGCATGCTTAGGTGGACAGTATGATACAGCTTCGTTGTTACTTAAAGCTGGAGCCAACGTTAATGCATTGGACAAACTAGAAATGACTCCTGTTTATTATGCATGTACAACGGATTATAAAGATATTGTGGAACTTCTAATTCAAAATAAGGCAGATATAAATAAAAGCTCATCAAACGGTTCCACACCTTTGCATGCGGCATGTGAGAAAGAGAGTATAGACGTTGTGAATACTTTATTAAAAACAGATTCAAAAGTAGATGTCAAAGACAAAACAGGGGAAACACCTCTTCATTTAGCATGTAGAAAGGGAAATGAAAAAATCGTAATATTGTTAATTGACAACGGTGCTTCCATTAATGGGAAAACAAAAAAAGATAAGATGAGACCCTTTCATGAAGCTTGCAGAAATGGGCATCGTAATGTTGTAGAAATTCTTTTGGAGAATAATGTCAAATACGACAAGCAAAATGAGCAGGGATGGACAGGCCTTTTCTTAAGTTGTGCAAACGGATACAATGATATAGTAAAGATGATACTGAATCGTAAGGCTGGTGTAAATCTTACTGATAAAGACGGTGTTACTGCTCTTCACGCCGCTTGTATGAACAGTCATAAAGACGTTGTTAACACATTGATCGAGAAAAAGGCGAATGTAAATGTAGCAGACGTTCATGGGGAAACTCCTCTTTATAAATCATGCGACAACGGTAACATTGAAATAGTTAAGATATTGCTCAGTAATGGTGCAAAGGTTAAAATATGTGGAACCTCTGGATTGTCTCCTGCAGACATTGCAAAGAAAAACGGGTTTAGCCACATTTTTACGCTATTGAACAAGGAAAGCAACTGATCAAAATAGTGTAAAAGCTGATGTAAATTGGTATCAGAAATATAAGACAATGTAAATATACATTTCCGATATCTCTATGAATTTTCGCTTTTGTTGTATGCGCAATAATGTCTTTTTTTGACACAGTTTTAAATTTACAAAATCAAAATAATTTTTATGTTAAAAACAAATGTTTTCTTCATAATGCCAATCATCGTTAACACGATTTGATTTGTGCAATTCTTCTATTATTTCTTTTACACATCGATTACATAAATCCATTCAAAAGGTTAGATTTTTTTATTTTTGATGAAATACATTTTATTTTATCTTCATTTAGAGAAAAAAATATAATTGAAGTAAATGTCAATAAGTAAACTCATCATAGATACCAGGATTAAAACTGTGTACGCCAGACGCGCGTTTCATCTACAAACGACTCGTCAGTGAGGCTCAAATAAAATAATTTCCAAAGGCCAAATAAAGTATGAAGTCGAAGAGCATTGAGGATCCAAAATTCCTAAAGGTTTTGCCAAATTCATTTAAGGTAGTCTCTATCCAATGATAAAATATTATCAGATATAAGTCCATCTGGAGGTCAGTATAAAGACTACACAAAGTACCTATACAATATGTCAAGCTCTAAATTGTTTCTACTTGGTAAGAAAAAATGTTGAATAAAATAGCTGCGTCTGATGGAAATCGACCTTTTACAAGTGCACATATACATATACATGCACATGTATACGTCTTTGAAAAAAAGTGGACTTTAATTGATTTTGGAACATTCAAATTCGAAATAAAAGATAAATTTTGGTCTGTTTTATAAGGTTCTTAAGTCAACTCAATGTTCAAAAAGTAACAAACTTTGCATAGAGATGTTTTCATCCCGAAATAGGTTAACAGAATAGGTTAACAGATGTATTGATATCTTTTTGCATAAAGTCGATTTCTACTCGACGAAGCTCATTAGTATCAATCAAAGATCTCACATACACACCCAGTTCTTCAAATAACGAATAACATTAGGGAGCAACCATTTAACTTCAAGGGGGGGGGGGGGAGGATACGGCTTTTTGTCTGAGTCATAATTTTTTTTTTAGTTTTTCAACGCTATCAATCAAATTATTTTTTTTTCAAAATTTAACACTATAAGGTATGGGAAAAATCTGGATTAAGAATATTTTTTTTTTGTCATCTGCTTGAGCACAATATTTTTTTAATCAGATTGAGGATCAGAATATTCTAGGATTACATTTTTTGAAATATTAATGTCCTTCGTTTTCACGATTACACTTTTTTTCCGCAACTGCTCCCTAACCGATTTAAATAGTGTGTGATTTTTTTAACAATTTTTCTCGCGTAATGTACCTGTGCACCTTTTTATTACTTTTAATCAACGGATTAATTTTGCGGATAAACGTTGCGTGACCGTCATAAGTGCACTCTATAGTCCTTTTAATCAACGGAATAATTTTGCGTATAAACGTTGTGTAACCGTCATAAGTGCGCTCTATAATACAATTTTCTTTAATTGTATCGGTCTCGGATCATGAGTTACCGCTTATGCTTCGAGCAGACAAGACACATCCGTGTTCATGGGACAGACTTTCGACACCGTAAAAATAAAACGTCAATACTCAAATGATTTCAAAAATCTCTAAGAAATTGCACAAAAACAAACACCTCACAACCCGATAGTCCTTTAACCTTCATTGCTGGAGGCGAAAGCAGGTCTATAACCGCTCGACCTTGTTTGTCCATCCGTCCATCTGTCCGATAGACCTTGGATAGAAAAAGTTTTCTTGTCTTCTAATGAAGTGAATGATTTTATATTTGGTCTGCAGCTAATTAATTATGATGTTGCAGCGTGTAAGCAACTTTTACATCTGCCGATATATTAAATTTTACAAGACTCATTGCACAAGGACAATTTTCGTCAAAGTTTTATTGGCTTGTATGGAAGGGAATGATTTTATATATCATTTTTGGTCTGCATCTTCATAATGATAATATGTAGCATATAAGCAATTTTCCCATCAGTCATGTAGCCACTCCCTGTTTTCTGATAGTTTGAAATTTTACAACACACACTCTTGCCTTCAATGAAAGGGAATGATTAGCTGTGCTGTGGTATATATCCAACCTCAATCAATAACTTTCAGCGACGCAGGTAAAGACCCGCTATTGGTCTTGTTTAGTTTGAAAGTAAAGATAGTAAAATAACTATATGAGTACACATATTTTACATTTAAACAGAGTCTGACGAATACTAAGTAGTCTAGATTATATATTCGACACAAAGATGTTCATTGATAATTGTGTTGTGTTTTTCGTATATTTTTGATTTGTTTTTAGTACCATAAACATGCCCAATTCAGGGGGAAAAATATTCCGAATGGCAAGTATAATGCCGTGATGATGACGATGGATGGCCGCTTAACGTCCAGCGGCAAATTAAGATGCATATTCAGGACGAAATAATTCCGTGAAGAATAAACAGTTCTTAAACAAAAACTCGCTGTATTCCCTCATTCTCTTTTTACAAAAAAAAAAAAAAAAATGGAAAATGTATGTCTTAACATAAACATTAAATATTGTCAACATGTTAATTAGTAGATCGCCTTTTCTTACCACAAGTCTTGCTGAAATTTATTTCTAATTGTCCCTAGTCAACGAAAATCGCCAATTTGTTTTTCATGTCATGTATACAATTATATTTGTTTATTCTATCAAAATCCGTACATTTACAGCATGTTCAACCTCGTGTATATTGTATAATTGTTAATTTAATGTGTACACATTACTACATATATTTTTATTTACATCATAGGACCTAAGCTTTGTTTTGGAACGACGGTTTATATTTTCACTTCGAGACGACCCAAGATTCAAATGCTACCTGTACATGTAATTGTAATCCTAATCGTAGGTGTATGACAGTTTCCGCAAATGTCTAATACCCGTACAAAAAAACCGCACTTAGCTGTAAATTCACGATACACATTATACGGCAGCCGTACTAAAGAATGCTCGCAGTTACTGGAAGCAAGCTCGAAGTACTTAACCTGTAGATACATGTATGATATCATCATGACATGGCATCATAGATTAAACATCGGTTGCATTATAGACTTTGGGGACCACGGTGGTCGAGAGATTTAAGTAGTTCATCTACAGTGATTAATAAAATTTAAACACTGAGGTTTTGAGTTTGAACCCCACTATGGCAAGGTGCGTTCGACTCAAATCTTAAGTGACCACGATTGCCTGTTTTCTTGCCCATTTACTTTGGTTCTCGACTGGGTACTCCTGTTTTCTCAACCAATAAAAAAACTGGCCACCATGATACAGAAAAGTGTGCTGAAAGAGGTGTTAAACATCAATCAATGATATCGTATAATGTTTCATACAGTGACTTAATAAACACATGAAGACATAAAACTGTGCAATGCCATAATTTAATAACACAGAGAAAGTAAAAAAGATCATTGAACTCAAGTATTGCTTCAAACTAGAAATTAAAGAATGAATGTTGTTCCAAAGCATATGAGAGGCAGTTATTGGACAACAACACTACAATTGTAATCTGTATTACCAAGTTTATTAAGCGAAAGGGGCAGACTTGAAGGAAAATGTCTAATTATGTTGGCTTCATACACTGTAAATAAAAGTGTTAAGAATCTGAACACTTTTTGAACGCCCTTTTGTAACACTTCTGGAACGTGTAAAAATGTTCTGAATATTAACATTAGTGTTCCAATATTTAGTATCAGGCGTGCAAATCTTGAACGCTATGTGTGTACTTCTGGAACATATATTGCGAATCTTTTAACACATAGTGTTCAATTCTGGAACAGGTAGTGTGCACCTCTTTGAAGATATAGTGTTCGATTCTGGAACAGATAGTGTTAATCTTTTTGAACATATAGTGTTCGATTCTGGAACAGATAGTGTTAATCTCTTTGAACATAAAGTGTTCGATTCTGGAACAGATAGTGTTAATCCCATTAACACATAGGGTTCCATTCTGGAACACGTCCTTGTGAGCAAAATTGTACGCCCTTACTTACATGTTCCAAGCCTCGTAACACTTCTGGAACGCTCGGACTGTGTTCCAGAAAAAATGTTCCAGAAAAAGTGTTCAATTTTTAAAACATTTTGGAGGTTTTAAAAACAAACAATAATTAAATTCTTAAATTATTTTATTCAATAACAATATAAGCGTGGTAGTACGATATTTTGGGATACAGTCAACTTCAAAATTACAAGACAGTTAGAAAATTTGCATTTGATAAGCAGAAACTCTGATAATATTTACCTCCACTATAAAAAAAGGCTTATAGGGTGCAGATTCTCTACCTCTCCTATACAACTTAACTTAATTGTTAACCTTAGTACCATTTCAAATCTTATTAGTCTTATGTAAAATAAGATAAAAAAAAATGACTGAAAACAAAAATTGACCCATTATTATTATAATATCTATAATTCCTTATATGTAAAGTACAATGCATGTTATGAAAGCGTTTCATTTTAGTCCATGTTTTTACTTTTTTTTCAAAATTGTCTATTAAATGAATTATCATTTCTATTCATCTACAATACTAATTTTGTTAACAGATAATCTGAACTGTTAGTTAAGCTATAATTTTTAGATTATTCAGGTTTTACTATCAACATTTATACAATAGTGGTAATATTTAAGAAACTATTGTGAAAAAACTTCATTATTTGAAAAGGTAAATATTTTTGGAATTTAACAGTATAATAAAGACAAAATAACAGTTTACCTCAAGAAAAGAATGTTTACATAATGTGAAACAGATATTATATATTTGCAATTATTCATAATAACAACATGCAAGATATAACTAATGTTTTATACAAAGTCAAATAAAAAACAAAATACATGTATAACATGTCAGAGAAATCTTGTACAGTTAATTCAGAAAGTGTTGGGTGGTTACATATATTGAGGTGAATGTGAGAAAATTAATATAATTGCACAGAAAAAAGAAATACCTTGCAATAGGATTAAAATGAGATTTCTTATAATAAATATATATAGTGGTATGTACATTGTTAATAAAATTGAGAATGGAAATGGGGAATGTGTCAAAGAGACAACAACCCGACCATAGAGCAGACAACAGCCGAAGGCCACCAATGGGTCTTCAATGCAGCGAGAAACTCCCGCACCCGGAGGCGTCCTTCAGCTGGCCCCTAAACAAATATGTATACTAGTTCAGTGATAATGGACGTCATACTAAACTCCAAATTACACACAAGA